TTTGAGAAGGTTCCTGATACCATCCCTGTGCATTCCACTGTTTCGGCATGTATGTGAACACATTTGGGACTAACAGGGTTTAATTACTAGAATCCCACCACTCCACCACAGAGTCACCGCAGTAGACGTTAGATGAGCGCTGTCGCTCTGCGGCACTTGTTGTAATTTTGTTTTATTATACTTTTAATGTGGGGTTCTTTGGTGAGAAAATCAAATTGTTATTTGTGTAAGCCTATGAATATGCATGCTGCCGAACTTATTTCTCTTTTCTTATGCCATATATGTAGTTGTGCGGTATTGAAGGTATAAGTACAGAAAGTTTAAATTTATTGGTTGATTTTAGACTAAATGTTGGTTTCTTTTTTTATGTAATAAAATGACTTTGTACACAAGTATTATATATCGTATGTCTTATACTGATAATAATAATATTAATAATATTTATTGATTTATATTGCGCACGTTACATGCAGATATGTTCACGTGCGCATTACAAAGGCTGATTATAAAACAGCAGACTGCAACACTGTAAAACATAGATACTTAAATTACGACAATCCTGTAACAATTCCTGATTACAAATAGCGAACTACAATATTGTAAAATATAGATCCTAAAAACGACAATAATACAACATTTTCGATAAAATAGAATCAAATCAAATGTACACCTAAAATATAATGTCTATGTGTTAAATGCAATGTTAAATAGATGAGTTTTGACTAGGCGTTTAAAAGATTCCAGCGACTTTTCACATCGAGTATTATAAAATATCCTGATTATAATAAAATATGCACCAAAATGATTTTGTAACCCATGATTACCCAAGATATCATACGTTTAATTGAGATGAAAAGAAGAAATTTGTCAAATAGGCCTACCACTGTAACATATGTTTTACAAATGTTGCATGAATTAGTCAACGGAGCTAGACTAGGGGTTGTTTTAGTAATAGTTTATCTAGACACAGCGTCGCGCATTTTGTGTGGCTGCATTGATGTTACAGGGAATTGGTTTAGATTGGGTAGATTCACGGGTCATTGTGAAATGAGCGTAGGAACGTGGACTGTGGGTTAGTTACATATGTGGGGGACAGATGTGTGGTAGGCTGGAGAGACAGAGATGTAGGGGGTCGAGGGTCTGGTTGTGATGGTGAGAGTAAGCACACGCGCTTACGCGCGTGTGCGCGTTTCTTTGTCTCTCTGTGCAAGATGTAATTACTACACTGTGCAAGATATTAAAATTTATTCAGTTTAATACACAAGTTTGGATTCCTTCTTCATCATTTCTACATCGAACATTACATCAACGTTACAGCAATTATTGAATTTTTTAAGCAGCCCGGTCTATTTTGCTTTTCTTTGTATCACATCTACATAGTGTGGCGAACTTCTATTAGGACCCACGCCTGCACATTCTTCGCTTTCCTTTTTATCTAGGCCGCCTTCCCTTAATTCTTATCTAGGCCGCCAGTAATAACAATCCTCAGAAATAATTCGCGGGCGATTAAAGTTGTCGCTAGATGGCGCGGATCGTTGTTCCTGGAGATCGGCTACTGAGCAGCACGAGTTCGCTATCTTCTACGCGTGCACCCCTGACGAACGGAACAGACGTGTTCGCACCATAGAACTAGAATAGAAGTTCATATAGCACTTTAGTTTATCTTTTACTGTGATTAGCAAGCCCCAAGCAGGGTAGAAGTGATTATGATTATTTTACTGTGATCAATCTCTCTGATCAATCTGTGATCAATCTCTCTCTCTCTCTCTATCTCTCTCTCTAGAGATAAAGCAAGATAAAGAGAGAGAGAGCGAGAGAGAAGGAGAGAGAGAGAGAGAGAGAGAGAGAGAGAGA